TTTATTGCTCTTACGAAGATTCTTCTTCGCATTCATCAAGATGTGCCAAGTACAGAGGGCATGAAACACATCTGGCCACTACTTTCTAAGGGCAGCTGCCATACCGGCGTCCTGATCTGTGAAGATGGTCACTGGGAGTTTCCTCTTCATGCACCGACTAAATGCTTCAAACAACCATTCAAAAGAAGGAGTTGTCTCGTCATATAACAAACAAGCGCCAAACACACAAGTTTGTCGGTGATGATTGAAACCTACAAACATCCCTGCAAAAGACTTGGTATTAAAAACAATGCATAACCGCTTGCGTGTCCAAAAAAATAAGGAAAATAAGTGGTCAACATACCCAATGGCCGGAAGTGTTTATTGGTTCGGAAGGTGGTGTCGAAGGAGACAGAGTCTCCGAAAAGTGCATAATCTTCACGCATCCTACTGTCTGCCCAAAAAATATTGGCAACTTTCTCCTCACAATCTACCTCTACAGCATAAAAGAAGTCGGGATACTTCTCCTTTTGGTCTTGAAAGTAGTCAAGCAAGAAAGTCGCTTCGCCACGAGACATAGTCTTTTGTCTGTTCTTGTTCAAATGGTTCTTCTGATCACATTTGGTAAAAGTCAAGTTCTCATACCCTCCGCCACACTCAGCCAATAGCTGATACGATGACCTAAGACTCATCCCGGCATTGCGATTTGCTTCAGCAACAAGTCCTTAAGGAACGCTCACAGACTTGTTTGACTTTAATAGGTGAGCATGCTTGGTGGGGTGCAAATCATGATTGTAAGCTCCAATGAAATTGTGCACCACATATCCATCCCTATTCTCATCTCATCGGAAACGAACAAGGGCGGGGCATTCAGCCCTAATTCGAGACCTCTTTCTTTTAGGGCGGCTTCTCTCTACAACGGAATCCTCTCCATGTTTCTGTTTCTCAACATTGACTTCTTCCCTTGACCCTTGCTTATTACAAACATAATAAAGGTAGGCATAAATTTCCAACACCTCTCCTTCAGAATTCTTCCTTTTTCTCAAATGTTGCGAATCTATTTCCATTGCCAGTTAGTATCCAATGTGCCCAGAGTAATTCCCAGAATACGTGTAACAAATATCCGTAAACAGTAGTATCCGTGAATCTTAAACTAGTATCCGATTGCTCCAAATATGTATCCACACTATAATCCGACATACTAGTATCCACAATAATTAAATGAACATAAAATATGCCCAGACTAGTATCCACACAAATTAAACATAGGCTACAAACTACGTCCAACAAACAGTAGGTAACTAGTATCCAACTAGCTCATAGTAGAATCCCAGATGACCAACAAACATTAAACTCACACCAAAGACATTAAATTTCATTCAATGCTCCCAACCAAAACTCAACAACACAAACTTATAAATATGTCAATCCACAATCACGTTCTTCTTCTTCTTGTACTGTTGCATCGAAGCCAAACACACAACCACCATTTATTTGAGTTAAACCTTCTAATACACCATCAACAAATTCTTCTTCTTCATGGGACGAGCTCGTTGATGGACGATCTAACTCGGCCTCATCATCGATCATCATTAGCAACGTTTCCTGGACGCCGGAGGATGAAGAGGAAAGAGACAGGCCGCTGCCGGCGACTCTTCCGTCGGAGAAAAGAAGAGGGAATTCAGAGAAAAGAAGAAAGAAGGAGGGGTTGGGAGAGTTGAGAGAGAAAAAGTGGTTGTGGCATTAATTGCCCTATCACTTCTATTATTTCCCCCATTTTTTGAAAAGACCCAAAAGCCCACCCAACTCTGATTCGGGCCCACCCATACTAAGATGTTCACCATAACAAGTATCCACGCCACCACGAATAGTATCTCAACAATCCACACAAATATTCAACACAATAAATAACTGAATATTCTTTAGGTTCAAAGAAATATCCAAGAAACCCTAACAAATATCACAATAATACAAACAAACATCAAGAAATAAGTAAAACATATTACAACAAAGACTGACAAATATCCACAACAGCCCAACTAATATCAAATTTTTGTACCCTAACCCTAAACCCTAAACTCTAAACTCTATCACCCCAATCACTAAACACTAAAAAAATAAAACTATTATTGTTTGCCCAAGCCGAGAATATTCAAAGGTTACACACAAATATCTAAACACATGAACTAAATGAATATTTCCTCATGTTCAAATAAATATCCACACAACCCGGACAAATATCAAAATATTTTAAAGAAATATCATGTGGTTAGTAAAAAGTATTACAACTAGGAAAGACAAGTATCCACAACACACCAACTAATATCTTCTATTTGTACCCTAAACTCTATCACCCTAATCACTAAACACTAAAACAATAAAACTATTATTGTTTGCTCAAGCCGAGAATATTCAAAGGTTCCACACAAATATCCAAACACATGAACTAAGGGAATATTTCCTCAGGTTCAAATAAATATCCACACAACCCAGAAAAATATCAAAATATTTTAAAGAAATATCACGTCGTTAGTAAAAAGTATTACAACTAGGAAAGACAAGTTTCCACAACACACAAACTAATATCTACTATTTGTACCCTAACCCTAAACCCTAAACTCTAAACTCTATCACCCTAATCACTAAACACTAAAAAAATAAAAATATTATTGTTTGCCCAAGCCGAGAATATTCAAAGGTTCCACACAAATATCCAAACACATGAACTAAGAGAATATTTCATCAGGTTCAAATAAATATCCACACAACCCGGAAAAATATCAAACTATTTTGAATGAATATCAGTAGGTTAGTAACAAGTATTACAACTAGGAAAGACAAGTATCCAGAACACACCAACTAATATCTTCTTTTTGTACCCTCCTAAACCCTAAACTCTAAACTCTATCACCCTAATCACTAAACACTAAAAAAATATAAATATTATTGTTTGCCCAAGCCGAGAATATTCAAAGGTTCCACACCAATATCCAAACACATGAACTAAGGGAATATTTCCTCAGGTTCAAATAAATATCCACACAACCCGGACAAATATCAACATATTTTGAATGAATATCAGTAGGTTAGTAAAAGGTATTACAACTAGGAAAGACAAGTATCAAGAACACACCAACTAATATCTTCTATTTGTACCCTAACCCTAAACCCTAAACTCTAAACTCTATCACCCTAATCACTAAACACTAAAAAAATAAAACTATTATTGTTTGCCCAAGCCGAGAATATTCAAATGTTCCACACAAATATCCAAACACATGAACTACGAGAATATTTCCTCAGGTTCAAATAAATATCCACACAACCCGGACAAATATCAAAATATTTTGAATGAATATCAGTAGGTTAGTAAAAAGTATTACAACTAGGAAAGACAAGTATCCAGAACACACCAACTAATATCTTCTATTTGTACCCCAACCCTAAACCCTAAACTCTAAACTCTATCACCCTAATCACTAAACACTAAAAAAATAAAACTATTATTGTTTGCCCAAGCCGAGAATATTCAAAGGTTACACACAAATATCTAAACACATGAACTAAAGGAATATTTCCTCAGGTTCAAATAAACGTCCCTTCTATCTAATATTACCTACTTTATTCGTATTATCATACGTCAGCTAAATTGTTACGACATAGAACATAGAAGTATATATCGATTTGTTGAAACATTAAACGTCCCTCCTATCTAATATTACCTACTTTGTATAAGCTGTTAATTTTTCAACCAGAAACCCTAACCCCGAACCCTAAACAATGTACACTACTAAATAAACTCTAAAAACAATATAATTAGGAAAGAATAGATATTCATACTCACCAGACTAAACCTTAAACCCTAAAAGAGAACCCAAACCCTTATGTCAAAACCTTAACCCTAACCTCTATACCATAAACCCTAAACCCTAAACCAAACCTAAACCATCAACCCTAAAAAATAAACTATAAAAAATAAAAACTATTATTATTTAATGGTCCTTCGGCCCATGGGCCTTCGGCGGGCAGCCCTAACTAAGGTTGCAAGCCTTATGTGTTAGGACTTGATAGTGTGTAGGACTTGATAGTGTGTTTAATTTGATGTAAGACACAATATTCCAATCCTTCACAAATTGAAAACCAGAACTCTAAACCCTAAAACTTAAACTCTAAATTGGTGTAATCAGTTTATGGTGGTTGGGTTATTTTGGGCCGCCGTTAAACATTAGTTTAATGATGGATATTGGTTTGCGAAGGAATAATACTAGTTCATTTCAACAATGATGCAAAGCAATATCAACATAACAGAAAATAATATCGACTGAGAACAAATAAATATCCACACAAACAAACATACATAAATATCACATGGGCCCATCAATTTTCGTTCTCTTTCCACTCCTCTCCATTCTCCCGCCCAAAATCAAGTCGGGCCCACCACGCCACTTGCTCGGCTCCTTCGCCGCCGCACGCTGGGCCGGATTCTATACGTTGGCCCACCTTCAGCTCACTTAAGTGAGCCACCACCACACCGAGAATCTCCTCCGTTGGATCAAACATGGGCCGACGTGGCCCAAAATCATGCCCTGTTAGTATCTGCTAACCCTTTAAGCAGTTAGCATATTAACTTCGGCGCCACTATCGGCGCCGACGGCGGCGGCCTTCTTCGTCGGCGAAGTCGGCGGCGTCTTCTTCTTCCTTCTTCGTCGGCGGCGTCTTCTTCCTCGTCGGTCGGGATAGCTTCAACGTCGTCGGCGGCGGGAGATCCAACAAGCCGTCGCCGACCTCGCAGCCGTCGTCGTTGTTGTTGGTGGTTTTCGGGAGAAGAAGAAACAGAGAGGGAGAGGGTTTGAAAGTTGGAGAGAGAGGGGAGAATGGCTGACTCGGGTTGAGCTCGCATTTTGGGTTTGAAATTTTGGTTTTTTTTTATTTCTTGCCCCACTTCTCCCAAAAGTGGCTCGGCTTGCCCAAAAAAATCTTCCCCCCTCACATCACAGCGCCGGTGATCTCACACCCTCCTACGTGGACCACCATCCCACCCTGTTAACGCTATTGGATAGTGGGAGGTAGAAGAATACGTTGAGGTAGAAGACTACTCCTCTCTTTATTGTTCATTTTGTTTGTGGATAGTAAGTTAGGGTTTCATGGATTTTTTTTGTGGAAATCTGGATTTTGTTTATGGATTTGAAAATTTATGGTTCATGCGATTCGATTTAGGGTGTTTAGGGTTTTGATTCTAGATTACCAGATTTTGTGTCTGTGGGATTCGAATTTGGGGGTTTAAGGATTCGAATTTGGGGGGTCTAGGGTTTCGTTTCTTGATTTGTAGATTTAGGGTTTCATGGATTAGAATATGGGTGTTTAGGGTTTTATTTGTAGATTACCACATTTTGGGTCTGTGGGATTCAAATTTTGGGGCTCTGATTTTTTTTCTAGTTACCAGATTTATGGTTTCTCGAATTCCATTTTGGGGGTTTGTTGGATACGATTTTGGGGAATCTAGGTATTGTTTGTTGATTCCTTGATTAAAGGTTACATGGATATCAGTTTGTCACTTCCGATACTTATTCTGGTCATTTTATATATTGTTTCATTATGGTTTCTCGAATTCCATTTTGGGGGTTTGTGGGATACGATTTTGTTGAATCTGGGTATCGTTTGTCGATTCCTTGATTAAAGGTTACATGGATATCAGTTTTGTCACTTCTGATACTTATTCTGGTCATTTTTTATATTGTTTCAGTGAATGGGGAGACCGAAAAAGAACTCAAAGCCCAACAATGAGGGAGAAGGATCAACAAAGCAGCCACCGGATGAACAACAACCACAGGTTTCATTTCTTACTTCGTTTCTCGATTGGTTATGTTGGCTAAAAATTACTAGTCCGATGCATTTTAATATTTTCCTTCGCTGGATAGTTTTCTTAATATCTAACTATGTTTCAGGAACAACCCGTGAGGAAGAAATCCAAAACTGTTGCACCAAAATCTGCAGCGAAATCTCGTGAAGCAGCTGGATCATCACAGCAGCCGCCGGATGAACAACCACCAAAGGTTTGATTTCTCACTTCGTTTCTCGATTAGTTATATTGGCTAAAAATATAATCTGATGTGTCTGATGTGTGGATATCAGTTCTGTTAAGGTGGATACTTAACTGTTGGTTTTAGTTATTTTTCCTGGGTATTATGGATATTTTTTTCATGGATATCAGTTATCTCAGTTTGGATACACTTTTGCTTTACTACGATAATAATTGTATGTATTGGCTAAAAAAATAATCTAATGTGTCTGATGTGTGGATATCAGTTCTATTAGTGTGGATACTTAACTGTTCGTTTTAGTTATTTTTCTGAGTATTATGGATATTTTTTTCAGGGATATCAGTTATCTTCGTTTGGATACAATTTTGCTTTACTACGATAATAATTGTATATAAGTGTGCATTTTAGTTATTTGTCCAAAGATTATGGATATTTTTCTAAATATATAACTGTGTTTCAGGAACAACCCGGGATGAAGAGAACGAAAATGGTTGCATCAAGATCTCGTCAAGGAGAAGGATCAAGGCAGCCGCCGCCTGCTATTCCAGAAGTTGAGGAGGAAGATGAGGAAGAAGATGATGAAGGAGAGGGTCCATGCGGCTCATATTTCAGATTTCGTGGCTCCACCTAATCCCTCTTCAAAATTATAAACTACTTGAAACAAGATGTTGGATACTATGCAGCATGCAAGAAAGAAGTCGAGAAGGCAGCATTCGGAGGCCTATTGGACCTTCGCATGCCGAAGATACCCAATGTCTTCATGGACGACTTGATGGCTGCTTATGACTCCTCATCCAGTTATTTTGTTTTTGGGGAAGGAGACTCGAAGAAGGTCTTCGACTTCACAGCTGAGGATGTGGCACGTGTGTACGACCTTCCTCTTGGTGGGGCTGTGATTGATTTGAAGAACGTTGAGGGGGGATGCTCGATAGTTTCAACGAGGAAGTTGGCATGATTCCTAACAAGGCTCGCATGGTTCCTATCAAGAAGCTGCGGGAGTTGGCCATTCCAGCCAACAGTCCTAGACCACCTGTTGCAATTGCTGTCAAGCAATTTTTGTTGCTAGCTACTGGTTCGATACTCTTGCCAACATTTTCTCGGAGGTGCAAGCTGGACTTTGCTCCATACCTAGGTGGGAGTGTTGAGGACGTGAGGGTGTACGATTGGTGTACATTTATTGTCCGTGAACTGAAAGTAGAGTTGACTGTTGCCAAGAAAAATGAACATAGTGCAAAGGCGTTGGGCTCGCCGTGCGTGTGGGTTCTCGGAGATTGCTACTTCTTGATAGTAAGTCCTAACCTTTTCTATAATTGTTGGTTCAATTGCATGAAAACTAGTGAATTTCGTATTTGGGTATCATCTAACAGAACTCAGATACTCTTTGTTTTGTAAGAAATTAGCTTGAAATGATTTCTGGATATCCGTTTAGTCACATAAGATACTGTTTGTGTTGACTCTTGATATTTGTTGATTAAATTGCTAGAAATGGAGCTTAACATTTATTAATTGTAATTTTTTTTTACAGCTCCATCTGCTGGACTCTCTAAAACTAGGCGGGTTGCACACAAAGACCATACCTAGCTGCCGGTTTTGGTGGAAGCAAAGTGTCGAGAGGGCAAGCACATCTATCCCCTTAGTCAGGGGAAGATATGACCTAGCTGCCGCTCTGCTGAGTAGGGAAGAAATCGCCTCTCGCAGGCAGCTCCAGTCGGCGGCTATTGGGTGTACTAGTGCAGCAACTGCGAGCAGTTTAGCTCCTCCTCCAGATCGTGCCCCGTTGCCATGTTGGAATGGCTTTGGATATTAGTCGGATTTTAGTTTGTTGTTCTGGAATATTTGTTGGTTTCATTTGGATATCAGCTTGTGGTTTCTTTTCAGTTATGAATACTGGTTTGTGAGGTTTGGATATTAATTTTATGCATTTGGATATTTCTGTGAAATCAATGTTTGTTATTTTTGGATATCAATTCTGCCAACTTGAATATTTGTACGCTCTCTTCTAATACTAGTCTGGGTACATGGGATAATTGTACAAGCAGTTTGGATATAGTTTTTAATTTGCGCAAAATGTTCGTTTGTCTTCCAGCTTAAGGTACTAGGTGCTGGGATTGACCGGCATATGGGAAAATTGCTGGACTTTGCAACAAAACTGGGACATATGATAGAAAAGAGGGAATAGCATGACAGGTTCAAGGTCGTGGATTCCAGGAGGAGACATTTGGAGAATACTGTTGAGGAGGTGCTAGAGCAGCTTAAAACAGAGGTGGTGGAAGACCAAGTGGAGAATATTGAAGCTAAAATGGAAATGGATGAGCAGCCTCGAGAATACTGTTGAGGAGGTGCTAGAGCAGCTTAAAACAGAGGTGGTGGAAGACCAAGTGGAGAATATTGAAGCTAAAATGGAAATGGATGAGCAGCCTCTAGAGAAGGACCAGGTCGAGCCACAAGTGGAGACAACTGGAGAGAAATGTGAAGAAGATCCTGAAGAGAAGAATAAATTTGAGGTGGTGGAGAATGAAGCTGAGAAGACTGTAGAGACACCGGACGAGGAGGTGTTTGAGCCGACAGTCCCTATGGTGATACACTATACAGTCCCAGATACCTCTTTTGAGGACATTTTGCAGATAGCTCATGAGGCTACTAGCGCTGCTAATGCCGAGGAAGAAGACCCACCTACAGATGTGGTGGAGTCGTTCTCTCAACTTGCAGAGATGGGAATGTTGCCTACAGACGAGGAGTTGGTAGAAGCGGCTTGTAAGAGCGCTGAGAGGAGTCCCTATGTGATTATCACGCATGAGAGGAATATGACTGACGAGGAGAGAGACCGTCTGTACAGCTACACACTTGAGGAATGGCTTGCAACACTAAAGACCCCAGAGTTCGAGAGGTCGAAGAAGAACACATATGCTTCTTCATCAGTATATTATTTGTCGAAGGATGTGTCGTCAAAGCTCGACCCAGTTGCTCGTCGTATGGTTGAGTTCGTCTTTAGTACCCCTGAGGGTAAGGGCTTGGTGGTGCACACTCCTTCAGTTAAACTCGCCCGTCTTCATCTGTTGACATTGAAGCGATTAGAGTGAGTCAATCTACAAGTGGTTGAGGCTTATGGTCATTTCTTGAACGACAAAGCACTTGCTGGTGACAAGAACAGAGTTATCTTTCCGTTCACTTTGGTGTAAGTAGGCTCTTCACTCACACCTTACAATTTTTAGATATCCAGTAACTAATTAGCTATTATTTTCCTTTGCAAACAGCAACTTGCCATACTTAATTCTCAGACGAATGTGCCCCCGTCCATGGATAAACTCAATGCGATCATTGAACTGACCCAGCGGGTTCAAGTCTTCAAACATGTTATATGGGACAAATTAGAATATGTAAGTGAATCCTTATTCTATCTTGATACTGATTTACGTGGTTGTGGATACTAGTCTGGGTTATTGGATATTTATCCGAGAGAAAAACTGATTTGTTTGAATATTTGCCTGTGAATATCTGAAATTTTAGTTTTGGATACTAGTATGGGTTTGTTGGATATTTATCCGAGAGAATAACTGATTTTTTTCAAGATTTGCCTGTGAATATTTGAAATGTTAGTTTTGGATACTAGTCTGGGTTTATTGGATATTTATCCGAGAGAATAACTGATTTTTTTCTATGTTTCAGATTTTTTCCCCTGTGCATACAAACAAACACTACCGGGTCTACGCTGCTGATCTAAGGAGTCAGAAGACTTTCCTTCTGGACAGCATGAAACCCAAGCCAGCAGTGGCCAAGGTGGATCACAGTCCCATGGGGAAATTGATATTAGAGTATGAGGTTGCTTTCCTTGCAAAGTACAACATCGATGCTCCCTTGCATGAATGGGAATTCTTAATTACGGATGTTCCTCAACAAGAAGGGCACGATGACTGTGGAGTGTTCGCATGCATGTTCATGGAGCACTGGGCGGGTCACATTCCATCGGAATATAAGGAAACTTGGCACTTGGCAAAGCACATGGAGCACCAGCGAGCATCTATTGCAGGCAGTCTTCTTCAATGGAAATACAACAAAGTAAGGAATGTCATACTTGAGGAGGCAAATGAGTGGGCAACACATAAGGAGAAATGGAAGAGAAGCTGAAACTTACCTCCTTATGTTTCATGGGACATATGTTGATGTTAAGGTATTAAGGTGATTGGGTTATTTTGGGAAGTTTTGGAGAAAAGGAAACACTAACTCTATCCTGATTGCTCGCTTTATTAGTTTAAGGTGATTGTGTTATTTTGGTAACTTTTGGACAAAAGTAGACACTAATTATGTTGATTAAATTGCTCGCTTTATTAGTTTAAAGTAGACAACACTAAGTCCATCCCTGATTTTTGTTATATTCAAAACACCCAATATATCAAGGATGGATTAAGAATATCTTTCCTTCAACATAAAATATAACAAAAATAAGGGATACACTTAGTGTTGTCTACTTTAAACTAATAAAGCGAGCAATTTAATCAACATAGTTAGTGTCTACTTTTGTCCAAAAGTTACCAAAATAATACAATCGCCTTAAACTAATAAAGCGAGCAATCAGGATAGAGTTAGTGTTTCCTTTTCTCCAAAACTTCCCAAAATAACCCAATCACCTTAATACCTTAACATCAACATATGTCCCATGAAACATAAGGAGGTAAGTTTCAGCTTCTCTTCCCTTTCTCCTTATGTGTTGCCCACTCATTTGCCTCCTCAAGTATGACATTCCTTACTTTGTTGTATTTCCATTGAAGAAGACTGCCTGCAATAGATGCTCGCTGGTGCTCCACGTGCTTTGCCAAGTGCCAAGTTTCCTTGTATTCCGATGGAATGTGACCCGCCCAGAGTTCCATGAACATGCATGCGAACACTCCACAGTCATCGTTTCCTTTTTATTGAGGAACATCCGCAATTAATAATTCTCAATCATGCAAGGGAAATCGATGTTGTGCTTTGCAAGGAAAGCAGCCCCATACTCTAATATCAATTTCCCCATGGGACCGTGATCCATCTTGGCCACTGCTGGCTTGGGTTTCATGCTGTCCAGAAGGAAAGTCTTCTGACTCCTTAGATCAGCAGCGTAGACCCGGTAGTGTTTGTCTGTATGCACAGGGAAAAAAATCTGAAACATAGAAAAAAATCAGTTATTCTCTTGGATAAATATCCAATAAACCCAGACTAGTATCCAAAACTAACATTTCAGATATTCACAGGCAAATCTTCAAACAAATCAGTTATTTCTCTCGGATAAATATCCAATAAACCCAGACTAGTATCCAAAACTAACATTTCAGATATTCACAGGCAAATCTTCAAACAAATCAGTTATTCTCTCGGATAAATATCCAATAAACCCAGACTAGTATCCACAACCACGTAAATACGTATCGAGATAGAATAAGGATTCACTTACATATTCTACTTTGTCCCATACAACATGTTTGAAGACTGGAAACCGTTTGGTCAGTTCAATGACCGCATCGAGGTTCTCCTTGGATGGGGCACATTCGTCTGAGAATTAAGTAGGGCAAGTTGCTGTTTGCAAAGTAAAATAATAGCTAATTAGTTACTGAATATCTAAAAATTGTAAGGTGTGAGTGAAGAGCCTACTTACACCAAAAGTGAACGGAAAGATAATTCTGTTCTTGTCACCAGCAAGTGCTTTATCGTTCAAGAAATTACCATAAGCCTCAACCACTTGTAGATTGACCCACTCTAATCGCTTCAATGTCAACAGATGAAGACGGGCGAGTTTAACTGAAGGAGTGTGCACCACCAAGCCCTTACCCTCAGGGTTACTGAAGACGAACTCAACCATACGACGAGCAACTGGGTCGAGCTTTGTCGACACATCCTTCGACAAATAATATAACGATGAAGAAGCATATGAGTTCTTCTTCGATCTCTCGAACTCTGGGGTCTTTAGTGTTGCAAGCCATTCCTCAGGTGTGTAGCTGTACAGACGGTCTGTCTCCTCGTTAGTCATATTCCTCTCATGCGTGATAATCACATATGGACTCCTCTCAGCGCTCTTACAAGCCGCTTCTACCAACTCCTCGTCTGTAGGCAACATTCCCATCTCTGCAAGTTGAGAGAACGACTCCACCACATCTGTAGGCGGGTCTTCTTCCTCGGCATTAGCAGCGCTAGTAGCCTCATGAGCTATCTGCAAAATGTCCTCAAAAGAGGTATCTGGGACTGTATAGTGTATCACCATAGGGACTGTCGGCTCAAACACTAACCCTTTAGCTGATTAAAGTTTGAAGCAGCTTTTGCAACTACTAACTGCTCATGCGAATATAAATGAAGGGAAGAGGAGCTTGCGTTCTCTTCTTCCTTCAACTGTCGGAAGGAATCCAGCAGTTCAAAATCCTCTTGTCGATGTTGCTACTGCTTACTCTCCCTCGTTGAAGATGAAAATTGCATACTCACAGTATCTCAGAAACCTGCATCATCCGGGGACATTGAATTTCAGTCATAAAGAAAGACATCTAAATACCAAACTTCAGTGTACTATTCCTGAGAAGGATTTGTTCCATAAGTGGTTCAAAGTAATGCAGGACACAGCTTACATTTATAGGCATTTCAGCAATGAGAAGGCCACAACTTTCCTCCACATTCTTCAAGGTCACAACTTCCCCACCGGCAACCACGTTGATAACAATCCCATCTGCAGATAGAGCGCGTAAGCGTGGCGTTAGAAAAAAGACCTTCATGTAATGTTGAAAAGCTGCCGCAACATCCCAAAGAAAACAAACCTGCAGCTAGACATGTGCTCACTCGTCTCATGTACATTTCCTGCATGTAAGTAGAAACCATGATAAGAAATCTGATGGAGATCATTTGGTTTTTTATGCTAACAGATACGAGCAGATATCACAGTGTTCTACCGGCAACCAAAGTAAGCAGAAGTTGCATAACGGCTGCCACATGTATAGGAAACAAGGTTGATCATTTGCTCGGATAATGATTGCTTCAAGAACTAGCGATCCACTATTATTCTCACACAATGACAAAAGAGAAAGGGAAAAGGCAGAAATCAAGTTAGAAGAGGCTTAATTGCGTTTCATTCGCTTTGTCTGATTCTATAAAAACAGTCATGCAAATCAAATGGATACGCAAACTGGAGGCAAAAAGAAAACTCATTGCTAATAAATGATGCGTTGCACATGATCTTCAGCCGACACAGATAGGCATTACACCGTTTACACGAACTGCAACGATTGGTAGCTCATCAGGAGAAAATACCTTCTTCGTTGGTAGCTCGTAGTTGATCAAGATACGAGCAGCGATAGATGATTCCCCACTGAGAACTCCTGGAAGGCAAGCATCCGTTACAACTATCATCTGGGACTTGTTCTCATTGTTCTGATTCTCACCATCGTCCCCGAACTGAACACTAGTCATAGCACTCTCAGCCCATTTGATGGTCGCTTGCCTAAATGTCTCCAAGACTAGGGTTCTTTCTGACTCAGCTAGGTCGCTGTACTGGCCATGGTTTACAACAGATGTTTTTAAACCATTGTAACTCAAATTCAAGCTAAATCGACATTCTCAAAGCCAGTGGTAGCACTTGCACGGGGAATTAAGGAAATGAGCAGTGCGTACCAGAGACGCAAGAGAGATGTCAGGGAGGTTGGAGACTGCAGAGCATACAGCATCGAGTTCGTCCCTCGAGCTG